GTGTCAGCAATCTCCCCGGGCTGATGCTAGCCCCTCTCCTGGGCAGCTGCCCTCCTCATCCCGCTTGGATCCCCACACTTCATACTGGATGGCTCTGCTGAGCAGATGCTCAGCTGCTTCACTCAGGTGCCAACCTGTGCCAGGCTGCCCTTCCACAGGGACACCCTGAAAGGGCTCCAGTAGTCACACACCGCCCCTCCTCCCCCCAATTCCTTTACCTCTGCCCAACGTGGAGCACTCTTCGCCTTGGTTGGACTCTGACACTGAGCCTGCCCACCTAATGGCTTTTGGCCTGAATTATTCAGGATGGGGAAGGGCCATGATTATTTTCTAATAATCATTTAAACTGTAGTTTGAAGAATGTATTGTAGGAGGGCAGTAGCAAATATAGGAAAATTGGCTATGAGACTATTGGAATGGACTAGGTGGTGATGATGGCTTGCCTAGGGTGGAGTTAATTCATATATAGAGAAATGAACAGATTCAAGAAAAAAGGTAATATGTATAGGATTTGGTGATGAATTGGTCATGGTGGGGAAGAGAAAGATATTTGAAGGCACATCTTTGCTTCAGATACTTGACATCAGGGATGTGCACTTGCTTCAAGGAAAACAAAGCCTTGCCAACTTCAGTATAATAAATCAAAACTTACTACAACTGCTCCATCATACATACATTAGATATGTTACAACAAAGGGACTGCTTTGTTTCATTTTTAGTTCCAGCTGGGGAATTGCTACTCTTCTTACAAGACCCAGTTCATGTTTCTTCTGAAATACAACTTGCTGGAAGCCATTCGTGCATGTTGATCACTCTATCTTTTATTATTGCATTTATCAAACCATAATGCAATTACATTTCATTGGTTTTTCTATAATGAATTCTTTGAGATCAGATTTTTCTCTCTCTTTGCAATACACTAAATACTGGATGCATCAAATATCTGCTTCAAAGTACAATGGTACAATGAGCCATCTTTTCTGTAATTACAATTTGGGGCATTTCAAACACATTCCTTTGAAGACTTCTGGTCAAGATGTTGGTGTAGGTAAACATGGTACTTGTCTCCTTCCACAACCACATCAAAATTACAACTAAACAGCAGAACAACTATCATTCAGAACCACCTGAAACCTAGCTGAACGGAAGTCCTGTAACTAGGGAATTAAAGAAGAAGCCACATCAGGGCTGGTAGGAGGGGCAGAGATTTGGAACATGCTGGTCCCACACCCACATGTGGTAGATAAAAATCAGGAGGGATATCTTAGCTGCAGAGGTACCCCCTAAAGAGCAAGGGGTCTCAGCCTCCTGCCAGCCCCCCATCTCAGGATTCCAGTGCCAAGAAGAGAAGTCCCTGTAACTTCTGGCTGTAAAAACCAGCGGGGATTGAGGCTGAGGGAAACAGAGGGCTGCTGGAATCCCAGGCAATATCTCTTATTCGGACCCACTCCCTCTGAGCTCCAGCACTGGGGCAGCAGCTTTAAAAGCACCAGAGACATATGGGGAGGAACTGAATTGTCCAGAAACAGGGAGAGACCTGGGGGCTGAGGAGGAGGGAGGGGGAGCTTTATCCCAGACAGGTGTGCTGGCAGAGGCTATTGTTCCTTCGATGAAACACATTTTATTTACTTTTCCCTCAGTGCCTAGTTAGAACAGTGCTTGGCAGCTATTCAATACATGCATTACAATGGACTCAAGACTCAATATTTATTATGTGCAGAGAGTAAATAAAGAATAACCCTTTGTTCCTAAAGTCCTTATTGCCTGGCCTCACGAGGAGAAGAGTGAAGAACACACACATTCACACGTAGACATATACAGTAATATCAGTGTTGAATGAGTGATTTAAACAATATGTTCTATAGGGAATCGATTTTGAGCTTACTAAATAAAAACAGAATTCCTTTACAGACTTGGAATTTTAGAATCAGGTAGAACGTTTGAAGTCCCTTAAATTCTTAAGGGAGGAAACTGAGGCCCAGGAAGGTTGATGAGTGTGACTTGTCTAAAGACACTCAAATGTAAATGGTTGAAATGGATATAACCTGTTTTTTGTTTTCTTAGCCAGTGTGAAGTGATAATGATAATCATAATAACTAAAACTTACATATGCTTTATACTCTCAGGTACTATGTAAAGCATGTTACTTATAGTAACATATTTAATTGTCATAACAACTCTATGAAGTAAGTGCATTTATTATGTCAATTTTAGAGATGAGAAAACTGAGGCTAAGAGAGGTTAAGCTACTAGGCCAACATTGCACAGTAACGGTAGAATTTTGGATTCCAACCTGGGCAATCTAGATATGGAGTCCAGAAGGAACACCACAATCAGTTCATTAAAAAATATATGTATTTTTAAAATATATCTTTTTTTATTTCAGAGAGAGGAAAGGAGAGGGAAAGAGAGAGAGAGAAACGTCAATGATGAGTCATTGATCAGCTGCCTCCTGCATGCCCCCTCCTGGGGATCGAGCCTGCAACTTGGGCATGTGCCCTGACCAGGAATCCAACTGTGATCTCCTGGGTCATAGGTCAATGCTCAGCAGCTGAGCCACGCTGGCCAGGCTCATTAAAATATTTTTGACAGCATTTATTTAAGCTAAGTAAGGTGTTATTTTCATAAAGTTTTTAAAATATAGTAACATAATAACCTATCATGCAAACTTTATTTTGGGGGTAAATTGTAATGTTTTATTAGATCAGACCTAATTCATAAAGACAAGTTGAGTTGATGTCTTAAATCACCTACAGCACTTACTAGTGGACTTGACATTCAACATATGTGTTGAATTCCATTGAATTTGCACTTGTTCATATTTCTATGATAATTGTAATTTTATATTTTTATCTCAATAAAACAGGTCTGCCTCTAGCCATAACTGACCTTTCTTTTGTGCTTCTTTTCTTACGTTCCAATTATTTTGACACTACATTTCATTAAAAATGTTATGGGGTAATTAGACTCATTAGCTTTTCTTGGCACTAATTCATAAATAAATATGAATTGATAGCAAACAAAAAGCAAGTATGGTTTGGCAGTCCTACTGAAATACTTTTTCTTTCCATTTTACTTGACAAACAACAAAAGGCTAGGAGATCAGATTATAAATGGATAAAATGTGCCTGCAAGCATACCCACATCCCAAATCTTTAGAGAGGAATTTATTTTAAAGTAGTCCTCTTTGTCTACAGTATCACTTTCCATGGGTTCAGTGACCTACGGTCAACTTCAGTCTGAAGGTATTAAATAAATTCCACCTCACTTCATC